TCCTCTAGTGCTGTACGTAGACAACAAGGCCATGCTGGCCTTGTGTCGGGAGTAGCGCGTGGAGCACAGAACGAAGCACATTGCTCTCTGCTACTTTCTTGCTTGTGAGCTGCAGCAGCGTGGTCAGTTGCGACTTGCTTACGTGGCCTCTGAGGCCAACACTCCTGATGTTTTCACCAAGGCACTTGCGCCTTGTGATCATCAGCGCTTCTGCACTCAGCTGGGTCTTGTACCTGTCTTGCCTCACTTGCTCACCTCTTGACCTTGCTTGTACTCTTGCATATATATATACCTGCTCTTGCTTGTTTAGTCTTACATATATATATATATATATATATATATGTGTGTGTACTCCTACATGTGAACTGGCCTTGTGGCCTTGACCTTGTGCTCGGACTGTGTGGTGACGTTGTGATCCACCCTGAGCTTTGCTTTGCTTTGCTTGACTGGTCTTGTGACCCCTTGTTCTCCCCCACTTTGCCTATGGGGGTGTGTCAAGTTATAATATTGTGTAGGCTATAGTGGGGTAGCCTATATGGGGTACACATTTCTAGGGTTGCACATTTGTATCACTTCCATTCATAGTTCATCCCCATTCTCGTTCAAATTTTCTCACAACCCACACCCCTCATTACTGATTTTGCCTTTGCAGATCAAGGTCCGGCAATTGGGGGTGTGGGATTAGGCTCCCCGCCTTCAGCAACGGTGGCGTCGCCATCTCCTTCTCCCACGCTGCAACCAATGTCCCGGCCGGCTCCGCCCACCACTTCCCCTGCTCGCCATGTGTCACCCACTTCAGCGGGAGCGTCGCCGTCGCTCTCACGCCAAGTAGGCACAAGACCTAGCATCGTACAGCAGCGCTGATAATAACAAGGCGGAAGTGCCTTGGTAAAGATATCACCAGTGTTGGCCTCAGAGGCCACGTAAGCAAGGCGCAGCTGACCATGACGCTGCAGCTCACGAGCAAGGAAGTAGCGAAGAGCAATGTGCTTCGTTCTGTGCTCTAGTCTGTGCTCCCGACACAAGGCCAGCATGGCCTTGTTGTCTACGTACAGAACTAGAGGAGAACGAGGCGGCTCTCCTAGGTCACTCAGCAGGTAGGTGAGCCAGCGTAGCTCCCGTGCAGCCATGGCCCCTGCTTAGATCTCAGCCTCACAACTGGAGCCGAGAACAGAAGACGAGCGGCTAGACTGCCACAAAATAGAGCCGGAACCAAGGCTGAAGGTGTAACCCTGTGACGACCACTGCGTAACCTGGTCGTCAGCCCAAGAAGCGTCTGCGTGACCTGTGAGGACCACTGAACTCCGCCCTCCAAGCACTAGCCCCATGCCCGACGTACTGCACAAGTATCGCAACACCCTCTTCACTGCAGCCATGTTCTCTGGTCGGTGTCTCCTAGGAGCAACATAGCGTGCCAAGATGCTAAGAGGATATGCAAGGTCAGGTCGAGTGCAGGTCATCAGGTACATGAGGCAGCCAACAAGCTCTGGATACGGGCCACTCGACTCTACGGACTCATCCAAAGGCAGAGCTGAGAGCGAGTGGTGAGTAGACAGAGGAGTGGCCTGAGGCGAGGAGTACGTGAAGTTGAAGCGCTGAAGGACCTGCTGCACCATGTGTGACTGAGTCAAGGTAATGGTGCGATGTGCTCTGTCCCGGGTGATCTGCAAGCCAAGGTAGCTGCGCAGTTCACCCAGGTCTGTGCACGTGTGTCTCTTATGCAGCTCCGACTTCACGTGGGCGAGTCCAGCAATGTCAGCAGTGGCAAAGACCAAGTCGTCGACGTACACGATGATGTAGAACGGCGGCAAAGAGATGTCAGTGTGCAGAAACAGCGACGGGTCGGCAGTAGAAGGAGCAAAGCCAAGAGCCGCAAGTGTAGTCCTCAGTATGTCGTGCCACTCACGGGGCGCCTGGCGAAGACCGTAGACTGGCCGCCGGAGGCTCTACTGGGTACCAGGAGGAAACGACCCAGTGAAGCCAGGTGGGCGGTGCAGCCAGATCTCCTCGTGCAGGCTGCCCTGCAAGAAAGCTGTGCTGAAGTCAAGAGAGTGAAGCTCGTAGTCGCGCTGAAAGGCTATGTGCAGCAGCACCCGAAGAGTGGTCATCTTCGGAGTGTGAGAGAAAGTCTGAAAGTAGTCAACTCCCTGCCGCTGACTGAAGCGTCGAGCCACGTAACGAGCCTTGAAGACAAGCGGAGAACCCGGAGACCGCTTCACCCTAAAAATCCACATGCCACTGACGATGTTCGCCCCAGGTGGGGGAACCTCGTCGACGTAGGTGCCTGTGGACTTCCAGGAAGCCATCTCTGCGTCCATGGCTGACTTCCACTATGAGGAGTAGGGACCCTCGATCGCCTCAGCGTACGATCGAGGAGTCGGGATGTCTGGTGCATCTGGGTCTCCCTCAGGGGCAATCAGCATGGACACGAGATGAGGCAAAGCAGCAGCAAAACACTGGAAATCCTCCTGCCTGTCCTCAAGGACGTCCGTGCCAAGAGCACACTCACCCCTGACGGACGGAGGACAGACAGACTCAGACTCAGCAACAAGACTAGTGGCGTTGGCGAGACGACAGTGAGCAGCAAAGTCGACAAGCTCAACAACTAGGGCAGACGCAGCAATGGACGCAAAGGAAGGGTCAGTAAAAATATTAGCCAGAAGACGCGTAATAGAAGGATTTGCAGCACGAAGCTAGTCAGACTCCGGGTCAGCAAGAGCAGGAAGAGAGGACTCTGGAGGAGATGGCAACGGGATACGCAGTGGAGCAAAGGAAGGACACAGTGCCATCTGGTGTGTGCCTAGCACCACAGGAGGACGCGGAAGCGGAACACGACGTCTAGTGCGAGCAGCAGGAACAAGCGACGCAGGACGAGACGCAGGCTTACGACGCTCAGCAAGACCTCCAGAAGGACCAGTGTAGGGAGAAGGAGCAGGTAGTGGGGAGGCGAGCTGTAACTCTGACTCAGACTGGACACCCGGCGGACACTCTAAAGAAGGAGCAGGACCAGCAGAAGGCGGGAGACCAGGAACTTGCTCAAGGAGCAGAAAGAAGTACGGCCGCGGCCGCGCAGCGCCTCCAAAACCAGCAGGTATAGCACCACCACCCCTTGCTGCAGCACCAGCGCCAACACCTCCTGCAGCTCCAGCTCCAGTCGGACCACCGGAAGACTCAACAGCCCCAGCTCAAGCACCTCCAGCAGCACGTGCTCCAGAAGCACCGCAAGACCAACACCGCAAGCAACTCCAACACAAGGAGCACCCCCAGGCCCAGCAGCTCCAGTACCTCCAGTACGAGCACCTCCGGGTCCCATGGCACCAGCACCCTCAGCAGCAGCAGCAGCACCTCCAACTCCAGCAGCACGGCTCCAGCGCCGGGCAAACCACTCACGCAGCTCCTGTGGAGAGGGTAGCTCCTGCCGAGACGAAGCACCCTAAGGACCCCCTGATCCAGCACCGCCAGAGGCCACACGAGCAGACCCAGCACCCCCAGGCTCTGCACCCCCATGCTCCGCACCCCCTGGCTTAGCATCCCCAGGCTCAGCACCCCTAGACTCAGCACCCCCAGGCTCCGCACCCCCACGGTCAGCACCCCCAAGCCCAGCACCCCCAGACTCAGCACCCCCAGCAGCACCAGAGTCAACAGCTACCTCGACAGGCTTGACTGCGTCTACCTGGGACACACCTGACTGGGCAGGACCCTGAGGGGGGAGAGGGTCTTCTGGGGGGGGACCTGGCAAAAGAAATAGCGGCAGCGGGTGAAGGGGCGCAGTGTGGTAGGAGAAGAGACGGTAGTAAGGAACTGACTCGTCAAAGGTGACGTCCTGGGAGGACAGAACACGGCGCGAGGTGGGGTGGTAAAACTACCAACCAGGCGCGTCAGGGGGGAAGCTAAGGAAGACGCAGGGAACATCACGGGGGGACAACTTTTCCGAAGACAAGTCGCGAACAAACGCCCGAGATCCCCAGACACGAAACGCAGACGCATCGCCAACCTTCCCCGTCCACTACAGGGTGGGGGAGGTCTCCGGCAAGGAGACCCAGGGCTGAAGGTTGATCTGATGCGCCGCGTACCGAACCGCAAACTGCCACAGAAAATGGGGAGCAGCCGCATGGATCATGGACGTACGAGCGACGTCCATGACGATGCGAATGCGGTGCTCAGCAGTCCCATTTTGCTGTGGAGAGGCCGGAAGCGTGAACGTCTAGCGGATGCCCTGTGCACGACAGAAGGCTCCTAGAAGGCCAGAGGAAAACTCTCCACCTCTATTAGGGTGCAGACGTAGAACAGAAAAGTCCGAGCCGAAACTCTCTCTGAGCTGGAGACGAGCTGCGCGGATCCAGTCGATCAACACCTCAGTGACCTCACCCTGGCTGCGCAAGGGGAACACCGTGGTGTAACGCGAGTAGTCATCAAACACCAAGAGGAAGTAACACTCGTGACCCTGGCCATGGACGCGGGCGGGGCCCCACACGTCCATGTGAAGAGTCTGCAGTGGATGTTCTGTCGGAGGAAACTCAGAAGAGTGAGGAGCGGCGTGCTGCCGCCCCTCGACGCAGGGAACGCAGGTAGGGGCAGGCCTCGGAGGAAGGTGAGGGAGAGACCGGGGAGACCAGAGACAAGGTAACGGGAGGCCATGCCTCGGAGACGAGGCAGGGAGGGGTGACCAAGACGGTGGTGCCAGAGGAGAGTCCGGTGGGACAGGAGACGACACGAGCAGGGAGCACACATAGGACCAGACCTGGACGCTGCAGCAAACACCTTACCCGATTCAACTACCTGACCAGACTCAGCAACCGGAGGAGACTCAGTAGTCATTGTGTACAGGCACCACTCACCAAGTTCGTCGAGAACGAGGGGAGGTAGAGACCTGATAGGGTGCTAGAGGGGGCCGTCGGACACGGTAAGACAGTGGAGAAGTGGGCAAGGACAGGACCCCCAGAGGGGTCCGCCAGGGAGACCGCAACCGGCCGACTAAGCGGCGTAAGCGTGGTGCGGTCTCAAAAGAAGGAGCGGGAAGCACCCGAGTCAAGGGTGAAGATGTGTAAGGCCTGAGCCGACGTGGTACCTGAGAGAGCAGACTCACCAGCACCTGGGGCAGCAGACGCACTAGCACCTAGAGGAGCAGCGTCACCAGCACCTAGAGCAGCAGCCTCAATGCCTGGGTCAGGCGGAACACACAGGTAACAGTCACCCTCATCACTAGTAGACACAACATACATGGCAGCAAGAATAGCATCATAATCCAGATCAAAGATAGCAACCCCTGTCCTAAGCAGCTCGCCCCAGCGGGGGATCTCAGTGGCGTCAGGGAACTGGAGACGCCAAGCGTCCATCAGTCGGCCGAAGTAGCGCTGGGTGGTGTGCGTGCCACGACACGGCTCACCAGTGCGGTCGCCGGTACGTAGGACGTAGGCACAAGGACCAGCACCCCCACCCCGCTGACGCGCAGCGTACCACTTACGAAGCTGCTGGGGGGGCGGGGTCTCACGAGTGCGCTGCTGTTGCTGGCGCTCACTACCACCGAAGCCACCCCGCTACGTAGAGCCACCCAGACCAGCTCCACCTCCGCCGCCGCCACCTCCGCCACCGCCGCCACCGCCTCCTCCTCCGCTCCCACCGCCACCGCCGCCGCTACCTCCGCCTCCACCACTGCCACCGCCACCCCCACTGCCGCCGCCGCCTCCACCGCCACCTCCACCGCCCCCGCTAGCCTCTTTTGCGCCCTTGCCCCCCTTGCCCTTGCCGATGCGGCGTCTCCTGCTAGGGGCAGACGCAACGCCGACCGACTCGGTGCCAACGAAGTCGACGGCAGCAGCAGAGGCAACAGAGGGCAAAAGGGGGGAGGGGGGGCACCCCTCACAGAAGGGGGCACGAGGGTCACCACGAGAGGCTCCTACAGCGACTATACTCTTCTCAGCTGCCAGGAGGCGCTCCTCGAGGAGGTCAACGGTGAGTTTGGTGGGGCAAACAGAGAGGAAGTGGTCCCTGACCGAGCGAAGGGAGTCAGGGAGCCGGGTGACTATGTAGTAGAGGGTGATGTACATGGGGGGAAGGGGGGTTCTTGGCCCAGAACTCAGCAGGAAGCGCAGCGCGGTAGCGGGTGTCACTAGTGCGAAGGTGTGTAATGAGGTCAGCGACTGTGGGAAAGGGGGCGAGGTCAGGGAACAGGTACGGCAGCATGAGGCGGCTAAGGGCAGCAGTGGCAGGGGAAGAGTAGCGTGCGACTACAGCGTCGTACAAGGTCTTAGCATTCTTGTACTGACTAAAGTGCGCGCGCTCAGAGGACGGCAAGTGACTAGACACAGCAAGACGGGCAGCAGCGTCGCGTGTGGCCCACTGTGAGCGAATAGTGCTGTCAGCATCGGCAGCAGGGGCAGTAGAGGCGCCAGACGTGAGATCGAACACTGAGAGACCGTCTTTCCTATTGCATTGTAGGAAAAGCTGCAGATCATCGACCCAGACCTCAAAGTCAACAACCCGACCCTCAGCATCAAAGACGAGAACGCTAGGGGTAGCCATGACAACAGTAGCAGTAGGCTAGGTGCAGGGCAGTCGGAGGGGCGCGGCTCGGCAGTGCTCTCACCAGGGCGGGAGGGTAGAGTGCCGCAAGTGGAGGGGCAGGGCCGAGGCGCGCCTGCAGGGACAGGGCCGCGACAGCTGCAGCGGCTCCTGCCGTTGGTGGCGGCGGCTGCTGCGGCCCTGGTAGAGGCGGCGGCGGCCGTTGCGGCTGCGGCAGCGGCTACTGCTCCGGGCGGTGGTGGCGGCGGCCGCGGCTCCAGCAGCGGCGGCGGGGGCTGTCACGGCAGCGGCGGCGGCGGCTGCTGTTGTCGGCGGCGGTGGCGGCTGCTGCTGTCACTGCACCGGCGGCGGCGGCGGCCTTGGCAGTGGTGGCGGCGGCTGTGACGGTGCGACGGCTGCTGTTGCTGCTACTGGGGCGACGACGGCTGGGCGGCAGGGCCGTGAAGGAGTCGAGAAAGGGCCGCTAAGGGCAGCGAAGGGGCCACGAAGGGCTGTGAAGGGCCGCGAAGGACGGCGACGGGGCCGAGAAGGGGCCGCGCAGGGGCCATGAAGGGCGGCGACGAGGCCGTGAAGGGGCCGTGAGGGGCCGCAAAGGGGCCGCGAGGGGCCGCAAGGGGTCGCGAAGGGCTGTGAGAGGGGCCGCGAAGGGCAGCGGAGGGGCCGCAAGGGAGCCGCGAAGGGGCCGCGAAGGGCCCTGGGAGGGGCCGCGAGGGGCCGTAAGAGGGGGCGACGGGCCGCTAAGGGCAGGAGTCGCGACGGGAGGGTAGGCACACGCGGCACGACTCGGGCAGGAGCGAAGCGCGCTCCGGGCAGATTTTTTTTTTTTTAATTTTTAGTGGTGGGCCCTAGGAAACGTTTGAGAAAGTACGAACGAGAAGTGAATGACTATGAAAAAGAAGTGGGTACAAATAGGAAACCCTAATTGGGTTGTACCCCCTATGGGATACCCCACTATAGCCTACAGAAATAAGTAAGCTATATGTTCTGACACACCCCCATAGGCAAAGTGGGGGAGAACAAGGGGTCACAAGACCAGTCAAGCAAAGCAAAGCAAAGCTCAGGGTGGATCACAAAGTCACCACGCATTCCGAGCATAAGTTCAAAGGCCAGAAGGCCAGTTCACATGCAAGATCATATATAGAGATATACAAGAGTCAAGCAAGCAAGAGCAAGAGTATATATAGGTGAAGGTACAAGCAAGGTCAAGAGCAGAGCAAGTGAGGCAAGACAGGCACAAGACCCAACTGCGTGCAACAACGCTGATGATCACAAGGCGCAAGTGCCTTGGTGAAGACATCAGCAGTGTTGGCCTCAGAGGCCACATACGCAAGTCGCAACTGTCCACGCTGCTGTAGCTCACGAGCAAGAAAGTAGCGGAGAGCAATGTGCTTCGTTCTGTGCTCCAGTCGCTGCTCTCGACACAAGGCCAGCATGGCCTTGTTGTCTACGTACAGGACTGGAGGAGAACGAGGCGGCTCTCCAAGGTCGGTCAGCAGGTAGGTGAGCCAGCGTAACTCCTGTGCAGCCATAGCCCCAGCGTAGATCTCAGCCTCACAACTGGAGCCGAGAACAGAAGACGAGCGGGTAGCCCGCCACGAGACAGAGCCGGAACCAAGGCTGAAGGAGTAACCCTGTGACGACCGCTGCGTAGCCTGGTCGTCAGCCCAAGAAGCGTCTGCGTGCCCAGTGAGGACCACTGGACTGCGCCCTCCAAGCACTAGCCCCATGCCCGACGTACTGCACAAGTAGCGCAACACCCTCTTTGCTGCAGCCATGTGCTCTGGTCGGTGTCTCCCAGGAGCAACAAAGCGTGCGAGAATGCTAAGAGGGTATGCGAGGTCAGGTCGTGTGCAGGTCATCAGGTACATGAGGCAGCCAACAAGCTCTGCAAACGGGCCACTCGACTCTACGGACTCATCCGAAGGCAGAGCTGAGAGTGAGTGGCGAGTAGGCAGAGGAGTGGCCTGAGGCGAGGAGTACGTGAAGCCGAAGCGCTGAAGGACCTGCTGCACCATGTGTGACTGAGTCAGGGTAATGGTGCGGCGTGCTCTATCCCGGGTGATCTGCAAGCCAAGGTAGCTGCGCAGTTCACCCAGGTCAGTGCACGTGTGTCTCTTCTGCAGCTCAGACTTCACGTAGGCGAGTCCAGCAGTGTCAGCTGTGGCAAAGACCAAGTCGTCGACGTACACGAGGATGTAGAACGGCGGCAGAGAGGTGTCGGTGCGCAGAAACAGCAACGGGTCGGCAGTAGAAGGAGCAAACCCAAGTGCCGCGAGCGTAGTCCTCAGTGTGTCGTGCCACTCACGTGGCGCCTGGCGGAGACCGTAGACTGGACGCCGGAGACTCCACTGGGTACCAGGAGGGAAAGACCCAGTGAAGCCAGGTGGGCGGCGCAGCCAGATCTCCTCGTGCAGGCTGCCCTGCAAGAAAGCTGTGCTGAAGTCGAGAGAGTGCAGCTCATAGTCACGGTGAGCAGCAACGTGCAGCAGAACCCGAAGAGTGGTCATCTTCGGGGTGGGGGAGAAGGTCTGGAAGTAGTCAACCCCCTGCCGCTGACTGAAGCCACGAGCCACGTAGCGCGCCTTGAAGACAGGCGGAGAACCCGGCGGCCGCTTCACCCTGAAAATCCACATGCCACTGACGATGTTCGCCCCAGGAGGGGGTACAGCGTCAACGTAGGTGCCTGTGGACTTCCAGGAAGCCATCTCTGCATCCATAGCTGCCTGCCACTGAGAGGAGTAGGGACCCTCTATCGCCTCCGCGTAAGAGCGCGGAGTCGGGATGTCTGGTGCATCCGGGTCTCCCTCAGGGGCTAGCAGTACAGACGCGAGACGAGGTGAAGCGGCAGCCAGACACTGGAACTCCTCCTGCCTGTCCTCAAGGACGTCCGTGCCAAGGGCACACTCACCCCCGACGGACGGAGGACAGGCGGACTCAGACTCAGTGACAAGACGAGCAGCGTAGTCGAGACGACAGCGCGCAGCAAAGTCGACAAGCTCAGTGACAAGGGCAGACGCAGCAGACGACTCGAAGGAAGGGTCAGTGACAGCAGTAGCAAGGAGACGCGTGACAGTAGGACTGGCAGCACGAAGAGAGTCCGACTCCGGGTCGGCAAGAGCAGGAAGAGAGGAAGCAGGAGGAGAAGGCAAAGGGGCACGCAGAGGAGCAGTGGACGGACGCAGCGACATCCGGTGCGTGCCAGGGACAGGAGGAGGACGCTGACGCGAACCGCGACCACTAGCGCGCGCACGACGAACAGGCGACGCAGGACGAGACGCAGGCTCACGACGCTCAGTAAGACCTCCAGTCGGACCAGCGTAGGGAGAAGGAGCAGGCAAAGGGGAGGCAGGCTGTAGCTGTGGCTGTGACTGGACAGGCTGCGGACCCTCTACGGGAGGAGGAGAAGGTGTAAGACCAAGAACCTGCTGAAGGAGCGGAACGAAGTAAGGTCGGGGCCGCGCGGCGACGCTAGAAACAGCTGGAACAGCGCCAGCAGCCCCGGCCGGAGCACCCACTCCAGCAGCACCTCCAGCAGCACCACCAGAGGCCCCAGAAGCAGCACCAGGAGTACCCGCAGGCGGACCGCCAGCGGCGGGCTCAGCGACAACACCCTCAGCAGTACCAGCTCCAGGAGAACTCTCAGACCCAGCAGCTCCAACACCCAAAGGACGAGCACCGTCGGGACGCGCGACAGCAGTACCCTCTGCAGCCGAAGAACCACCAGCACCAGCAGCACGCCTCCAGCACCTGGCAAACCACTCACGCAGCTCCGGTGGGGAGAGTGGCTCCCGGCGAGACGAAGCACCCCCAGGCTCAGCACCCCCAGGCTCAGCACCCCCAGGCTCAGCACCCCCAGGCTCAGCACCCCCAGGCACAGCACCCCCAGGCTCAGCACCCCCAGGCTCAGCACCCCCAGGCTCAGCACCCCCAGGCTCAGCACCCCCAGGCTCAGCACCAGCAGCAGCACCAGAGTCCCCAGTGACCTCGACAGGCTCGACCGCGTCTACCTGGGACACACCTGAAGGGGCAGGACCCTGAGGGGGGAGGGGGACTACCGGGGGGGGGCCTGGGACCAAGAAGAGCGGGGGTGGGGGGAGGGACGGAGTGCGGTAGGGGAAGAGGCGGTAGTAGGGTACCGACTCGTCGAACGTGACGTCCTGGGAGGACAGAACACGTCGAGAGGTGGGGTGGTAGAACTGCCACCCAGGGGCGTCGGGGGGGAACCCCAGGAAGACGCAGGGAGCAGCGCGAGGGGACAGCTTGTCCGCAGACAAGTCGCGGACAAACGCCCGAGATCCCCAGACCCGGAACGCCGACGCATCGCCAACCTTCCCCGTCCACATCAAGACTGGGGACATCGCGGGTCGAGAGACCCGGGGGTGAAGGTTGATCTGATGCGCGGCGTACCTGACCGCAAACGGCCACAGAAAATGGGGGGCAGCCGCATGCATCATGGACGTACGAGCGACGTCCATGACCATGCCAATGCGGCGCTCAGCAATCCCATTCTGCTGTGGTGAGTCGG